GCTCCAGCAGAACCAGGCTCAGGGAGAACAGAACTGTCCAGTGCATGACTTTTTTTTCCAGTGCATGACTAAATTTGGAAGGAGAGTGATGGCCCATTATAGTGCCTCCTGTACAAACATGTGGGGGCGGAGCTATGATCTGGTGTTGCTGCAGTTGGTCCGGTCTAGGAAGTTATCCAAACAGTGCCACAGTGAATGTGAGCTGTAATCAAAGCTAAAGGTGGTTCAAAGAAATATTAGAGTGTTTGACATTTTTTAGAGCAGGCAGTGTATTCACTCTGCACCTTTTCTGTTCCACTTTCACATTTAGGAAAATACTTACATTTTCCCCTGGTTTTCCAACAGTAACAAATATTTTACATTTTAAGGATGTATTAAAAGACATACCTATATTTCTGTATTTTCCAAGAAAATTTACCTGGTGAGCTTTGATTTGGCTGGGAAAAATTACAACACATAATTCAACAAAAACAGCCATAATGATCGGGTCTCTGCCCCAAAACTCTGAATGATTTACCTGTTAGCGTTCAGACTGCTGAGACTTTTAAATATCTGCTTAAAACTCACTTTCACTCCCTGGTTTTTCATTCTGGTAGAGTTTGAGATTCTTTTGATGATAAAGTTTTTAATTTTTTTCTGTATTTTTAATTGATTTTATTGTCTAAATTTATGTGTTGCTCAATTGTTTTATTCATTAACAGTGAAGCACTTTGTCCAACTTCTGTTGTTTTTATGTGCTGTATAAATAAAAATGACATTGATATACTGTGACAAGAGCAGACTAAAAGCCTTCATGCTATTTTCAGCTGCTTTGCTTAATTGTACATATATGATATTTTAAAGTAAAGTAAAATAAAGTTACTTAAAGAGCAAGAGAGTTGCAGCTGTGTACTTAACCAGTTCATTTCTGTCATGTTAGAGCAAAATAAGTAATTTTATTGAGGGGTTATATTGACTGGATCAAATTATGACCACTAGGTCATAACCCCCACATTCTATGTCCATGATTAGATTAAAAAATATTTGTATATTTTAAAGCTACRCCCCAACCCTCAAGCTTTTAAAATGTTTTCACATATATTGTATATTTCTACTWGCAGTTCTTGCACCAGAAGAAAAAGAGAGTAAAAAAAGTGGGTCTAAAAAAGCCACACATTTACATTGTGTACAAATTGTACTGTGACAAGTCAGTTACTTGGAAAACCCCAGTTCTTTACGATGAATTTCCACCAAACCGCGTCAATGCTTTCACACATCTGTAGCTGCTAAAAGACAGAAAATACTTCCATCTTTGATCTTTTTTAGGGGCTGAACATAAACTTCTTTTAGACCACTTTATTTAAAAATGCTAAATAAATACCACGGTAAACGTTAAAGAGTTTTATTAGAAAATACTTGATTAAGTGAAGGAGCAGCTTTTTGTTACATTTAGAACAAACCTCAGGTTTATCAGTGACTCACTGTCAGACAACGATTTCTGCTTCTGGTAACACAGAAGCATTATCAACAAAAATAAAATAAAATAAAAATAAAAAACAAGCTGTTTCCCACAGATGAAGAAGTCACAGTCTGTTGAGAACATCTGACACTTTTAACATCAGTCAGTTCACGTTTCTTTTCTCAGAAAGGGAGAAGTGCAGAGCACCGAGAAAGCTGAACTAACTGTGTGAATTATTAAAATAAATTATTATTTGCTGTTATCTGCTTCTCTGTTTCTCATAATGTGGAAGGTGAGGAGTTAAAGGGGAAATTTGTGTTCAGTTATTTTGTCACTACTTCTTCCTTTAGCGGGAAACACACACACACACACACACACACACACA